TAGGGAGATAGTAAGTTCCAACTCCTCAATCTTGTTGGGTAGAGATCTAACATTTGAGACAAAAAGACTTGGCAATGCAGGCTTGTGAGGATTTTTGCTGAAAATTAAATTGCTGAAAACAAAACTTTTAAATATTGTTGGAGCCAGATTTACTATACATGCATGCATGAGGGCTGATGGAAACAAAAGTTCCATTCTGTTTAGGTGGGTCTGCCTGTTTTCTCGAGAAAACAGCCTCCCCACACTATTTAGCAAAGTCCCCTACAGTCTTCATGTAGTATTTGGTAGAGAGCTGAAGTAACTGTCATAAGGAAGCTGCTGGGTAGGTGGGGCTTGTCAGCCATGGAAGGCAGCCCATCTAGGAGAAGGAAAACTCCGATTTCAAACCTCCACTGTCTTGTGGCTATATCCACTCATGGAAAAGGCTTCAGGAGTTAACCTCGAGGCAAAATCCGGAGCTGGAGTCCCGAAGGCAGCATGTGTCGTTCTGCCAACTCCTGCGACATTGCTGGAACCAGTTGTATTGGCTCTTGCCTTTCCATTGGACCATTTCAGCAATGTGGAGAGGGGGGATCTGCTGCTTGGGTAACAGCCTATCCTCCATATTACTTTACCCAGGCTTCATGCTCTGGAGAGGACACTCCTCGATTCAGAGCATGTTACCATAGTCTCTTGAGACTGAAGGATGACTATGTAAGGAAGCTGGGACAGAGATGTTCTCTACCACCAGCAGTTTTACATTTGCTCAATTCTAGATCCAATGAAGTACTGCTTCACACATGAATTGCACTTTTTAGCATGGCTGCCTTATACTAAAATTGTAATTTTTTCATACATGATGTAACTGTTAGTACAGTTATTCAGCTAGAAGTTGTGCTACTCTAACAACATGTACTTCATTGCTCAGAACAGAGTACCAATTATTTTTTTATATTAACATTCTGCCTTTCCCCCACTGAACTCAAGGCAGCATACCCTGTGAAGTCAGTAAGGCTAAATGTAACTGGCTCAAAATTGTCCAGCAAGTTTTATGATAAAGTTGAAATCTGAATTTAGGTCTCCAGAGTCCTAGCCCAACGCTCTGATAGTGCGCTGACTCCTACAATATACACTACATACAGAACCTCATGTGTGTTTACACACGAATAATACATAATTGTTCACATGTTTGTAATATGTTTAGGACTGGAACCTAGGCCCTCTTAATTGCAGTAATATGTTCAGCTGACAGCACCTAAACTTCACAACACAATGTAACACAGGAGATCACTTCTCTTCACTTCACAAATTTATTATTTCACAATGTTATCTGATTGTGAATTCTAATCATCTACCACCTGGGATTTTCTTTTAATAACTGAAGAGTTTAAAAGATTCTAAGTAAGTAAATATAAATAAGCATTTTTAAATTTCCAGCATTATTTACATGCATTTAAGATTAAAAACCGCGTGGGATATATCTTAATACAACTGCATAAAGAGGTGTCTCCCAAAAGGGTTTTATATTTGCTTTAAATATACATCTAGGACCAGGGTATGCAACTGAATGCCCTCCAGATGTTGCTAAAATTCAATTCCTACCAGCTCTAGAACACATATATAATGATGATGAGAGCTATAGTCAACATCTGGAGTAACACAAGTTGCCCATCCTGAGCTGTAAGACAAATAATCTAACTTATATTTCATATGAAAATATAAAATATAAGTATGCTATGAAATAGCATGTTACTAAGCTTAGAAAGTTGATTTTTTACCCAATTTTTAAAAATATACCCAGAATCCAATGGCTTATTTTTAGCAATAAGTTGTTCCTGTATTAATACAAAACACAAAATATGAAAAAGGCTCACTTTCCTACATTTCAAGTTCTTTTGGTAACTCTGAATCATTTTTTGTAGGTTTACTGTGTGCTGAGCTCCTGGTGCCCTCCATCCTGGGTTGCAGCCTACTTGTATTTTAGACCCTTTCCTTTTTTGCCTTTTCAGCAGGATTTTTCCTCATATCTTTGCATTATCTTTGCTGCTGCCATCAAGCAACCTGTTTATGCCAATGTGCCTGCCTCAAGAATTTTTTTAAAAAATGTCCACCCCAAGTTTTGTTTTGAGGGATGGCAATATTTTTATCCTTTGGCTATGCTGGAGGGGGGAGTAATTTCTTTCTTAGACCATCTTTATAGCAGCCAACTGGACTCAAGGATGAGAAAGCATTGTGGAATTGAGAAAGAAATCCCCACCCACCACAATATTGTAATACTTTTTGCTTGGGAGGGAAGCTTTACTTCTACTTTGCTTCTACTTGTTTTTCTTTGGAAAAGGGGTTGTATGGAGTGTTTTTTCTATTTTTCCCCTGGTGTGTCTATTGGGAGAGTGCTTTCCCTCTTTGATGTTTAAAAAAATGTTATTTGGTTAATTCACTATTTATGTCAAAGAAGCATATTTTGGAGAATGGGGTGGGTGGCTTCTGTTTGCTCCTGTGGGTCAAGTGTGTGCTGGGGGAAGGACTTTGTGACTTTGTCATTGTGCCACTAGATTGTGTGAATGTGACAAGAACTAGTGCTTGCATAGATCTGATTATAACTAGAGATAGGAGGATTCGTGTACAAAAATCCCCACACAAGTTGTGTTTACTAGATTGTGTGAATGTGATAAGAACTAGTGCTTGCATAAATCTGATTATAACTAGAGATAGGATTTGTGTACAAAAATCCCCACACAAGTTGTGTTAATGAGGGTCCACCCCCATGGGGCCGTACAGTCCACTCACCGATCCGCTGCGGACGCCGCGATTCTACCAATGGCTCCACAGTGCATGATCTGATTGCCTCTCCTAGCAGGAGGACAAGCCTCGCTGCAAGGTCAAAGAGTGGTGAGTGGATCGTGCACTGTGGAGCTACTGGTAGATTGGTGAGTGTCCACGTTGGATTGGTGAGTGGACCATCCAGCCCCATGGGGGACGGACCCTCGTTAAAGCCACTTGTGCAGGGATATTTGTATATGAATACCCCCATCTCTAATTATAACTGTTCTTCTTATGTACGGTTGCCTGCTTCTGGAGTGGACTGATTCTTTGTTGACTTGTCTCTTCTTTTTTGGAGTAGCTTTTAACAGTTATTTAAGGCTTTTGGAGTGCCAGGAAAGATGAGGAGGAGAACACAAATGAGAAACTAAAAAGAGGGTGTTTCCTTCCATGTAAAACAAAAGGAACTGCATGTGAAGAATACAAATATGAAAGAAAATAGAAAAGGTACCACCTCAAAGAACATAAAACAAAAATGCATGAAAATTTCCACTGTGCATGTTCCTATTTACTTCCACTGAATTCCACTGCTAACACGAGAACTGACCACCTCTTACTTATACAGGACTCAGCAGCCCACTAGAACCAGCACTGGGGTTTGGCACCACACATGGCCTTAACAGGAGAAAGAGTGGAAGAAAGCCACAATTCCACTAGGAAAGGAAACCAGAGTAACACTATTGGATCTTGGTCTATTTCCCAATAGTTACCAAACTGATTGCTTTTATGGGCACAAATTAGTAAGCCTTTTGCATTTGGATTTCTCTCTTTGGTTAAATTTGTGTTCCTTCCCTCAAAGAAAATGTGTATTTTACCACATCACTAACATATAGTTCTATAACTAGCCTTTTGTCTTGTATATTTGATTTAAAATGTTGATCATTTTGAAATGAATTTTGAAAAAAAGTACAGAAGACTCCCTAATTTGTATTTATGAAGGAATGCACTTTGATAAATATGTTATGCCAGTGCAGATCTAAGTAGCTCAAGGAACTTAAATATCCACAGAAATGATGTAATCAGCAAGCACTTCAAGCTGCAGCCCGAGACCTACTCGGGACTTACCTGCCAGAGAACATGGGCATGATCTGAATGCTCATTTTTGTGGGATGGTGGCTGTTCCATGCAGTGAAGAAAATATGAAAATCCCCTCAAACTTTGTCTTTATCTTTGCAATAACTGATTGATTTTAAGCATGGCGTTGAAAAAGTAGACTGTAGATAACACAAAAGAGGCATTCCCCTTTGCTCACATACCTCTTTAGACAAATATATCATACAAAACCAAGAAACCTGTACTTTCTTCCAAGCTGTTTTGCTTAATCTAAAAATTGAAGTTGACAAGCATTCCTTTAATTGGTTGGCAGTTGCTTAAGTGATGATCTACTGGATATGCACCACCTCAGAAAACCATGGGGAAGGGGGGAGTCCTACTGAACTCCATGGGTTTTCCCCTCACGCACTCGAACCCTGCTTTGTCTTACCAAAAACTCTCCCAATGCTTTTCCCGAGCGGGCGCATTTTGTGCGTGAAAGTAAACGCGCCACAAAGGACCACAGAAATGCGGTGCTTGGAGACGTCAACGATCTCCCACCGAGGGTCTCAAGGGGTAGAAGAAAAAATGAGCTGCCTCAAGAGCAAGACGGAGCTTCTTTCATAGCTGGTTACCGTAAAGAGGGCACCCAGTGACGCAGCCAATACAAGCAAAGCCGATCTAAGCCCACACCCGTAAAAAAAGCTAGTGGCGTGTCTCATTTCACCTGGCCCACACCCTGAGTAATTATTTTATTATTTCCAGATAGTAATTGTTTCGCTTGAGCTACAAATGCATTGTACGAAGAAAGAGTGGAAAGCACTCAGGCCTATAAGGCGGGAATACAGAGGAAGCGGGAGGGGGAGAAGGCGCGGGCCGGACGGTGGCGGCGACGCCTCGCCTTTATTTTTTAATATGAGCCGCGATACCAGCGCGGCTCTCCCTTTTCTCCCACTTTCTCCTCCATTTCACACCGCCGCAGAGGGACTAGGCATGGCCGAGCCCAAGAGTGAAGCGTCCCAGCCGGAGATGGCGGCGGTTAGAATAAGGCACACTGGGTAAAAACACATTTATATACGAACCTCGCCGAGAAATTTTCCAACAATTCCTCCGTCCGACCACCATGCACCAGGACAGGAAACGGCCGTCTCAGCGCCCGCCCGCCTATCCGAGTACCGCCCAGAACTGTGCGGGCGGGCCCTGCAATCAGCACCTGTAGAACACTTCATTGGGCAACCTGAGGCTCAAAATACCGCCCATGGTAGCTATTGGGTTGTTCTGCCTCTCCTGCTACTATCTATTGGCTGTTCACCCATATGCCCGCCTCCAAACTTAGTCGATTCTCTTCTATGCAGGGTTCGGGCCTACTCCAGAAGCCATTTTGTTTCACGTCGGACGAGGCGCTAGTGCGTCAGTGAGGGAAAAAGGGACGGACGCCATCTTCCCTTTTTCTCTTGAGCGCAGAGTGAGTGTGGTCCTCGTTCCTTTGGAATGGCGGCGGTGATTTGGAAAAAAATCGCCCTCGTTAGGTGGATCCTGCCCTAGGAGAAGCGAATAGGGAGGTACAGTCCTCCCGAGGGATTTCTGCTGCAGTCGGCAGTCGCTCACTTTTGGACTCAAAGCGGAGTTTTGGCTGCTTGACAAAGAAAAAAGAAAAAAAAAGCAAAACTGAGCCTTGTTGTGCCATTCAGACAACTTTCCTGTGGGACTCATGTTATTTCAGTTAGAATTGCCAGAAGGCGCTTAGTTCCCCGCCCTCAACGTATAAAAAGAGCGGCATTATGGCAGGTTGGCCGTAATCGGTTCTCTGTTATTCTTCAACCATTTCCCTTGATAACTAAAGTGTCATCTTGGTCCGTGTCAGGGATATTTACCCCTGTTATAGCTGGGAGGGTGTTTACGCTGTCGGATGAAACCTGACGCCTGAAAAATCAAGGCTGGGGCGCCTTCGAGGCAACCGATTCCAATTTGGCATAATCTGCCTAGTGCTGTTACCCACTTCACATCCCACAGCGTATAGATTCTGTAGACATAATTTATGCAAGTATTTGAAACGTAATGGAAATACATTGCCGTGTTACAATGTTTGCATATCACTTGCAGTCCACATTCCCCTTCACCCCATGGGTCAGTGGCTTGTCTGTTGAGTCTCCACCCCACAGTACTTGAAGTGAGCTGTAGTCTTTGAAAGGGTATGCCAAGTAAATCTTAGGTAGTTTTTAACCTACTACAAATTGTAACCGGTTAAACTGAGCTAGTCTTGACGAATTTGCCCAGAGAGCTTTATGGCTGATAGGGATCAAAAGTATTTACTATGATTAATTATAAGATGTAATTCACCAATCAGATATTCATTCTGTCCCATGTGTGCCTATTGTACATATTTTGTAGTGTAAATTTTATTCATTCAAAAGAGTGATGCCCTCATGGTTCAATCATTTTTTGAGAAATTTTGCAAAAGAACCATTGGCCTTCATTCCAGATGTGACCAAAGTCTGTAGCTAAATTCTTAGCAAGGAAACATTAATGTGCCGCTTTTCTTTATTCTCTGAATAACAAACTGTAGATTTTTTTTTTTTTACAAAACTGTAAGTTCAGACTCCCAACAACACAATCGTGCTACAAATGGGTGAGAAACATCTTTAAAAACTATCTACTATCCCTGGACAAGACAACTTCTACAGGCACAAATAGCGTCTTACAGCTCTCCATCATCATTGATTGTGGAGAAGCTGGGGAGAGGAAGAGACAGAGGGAGACACAAGGAAAATAAATTGGGCATTAATTAGACACTATACTTGAAGGAAGTTTGGTATTAAAACTTAAGATTTTTTTTCCTGAAGACACTACTGATAACAAAATTTGGAAAACAATATCTGTTTATGCTATGTGTAACAGCTATTTAAGGCACTGACAAAATGTCTAGAATCAATGGCCTTGAATGTTCTAGGACTATTTGGAACTCCCTTTCCTTTTGAGGACAGAACTGAACTACAGGCAAATTAACCCTAGAAAGCCTAATTTATCCAAAGTGGAACTTACAAAATGTATCCTGGATGTTGAAATAGATGGGACCTTGAACCTTTAGGCAGAGAAAATTCTCTACGTTGGAGACTGGATTCAAGCTTTATGGAACTGGATCGATTACTTTAAGCATATGGACAACTTGGAATACAATTTTTTGACAGATTGGAACATAATGACACAATAAGGACAATTTTGGGAGGAAATAAAATCTACCCTTCAAACAATCTTAGAAATACTGTAGTGAGATCCCACAATGAACAGGCAAAATTATTCAAGGTGCAATTGAAGAATTATACTCAACAGGAGACAGGAAATAATGAACAAAGGAATGAGAGGGCGGTGGATGGTGGATGCCAACCTAAAGAAGGGCTGGAAGAAATTAATGGGGAAAACCTAATGGAGTTGAGAGTCTTAAGGGAAGATAAGAGGAGAAAATCAGCAGAATCAATTTAAAATAGTCTGGAAGATCTATTGGACATAGATCAAGGGTATAAAGATATATTGGAGGTAAATCAAATGCATAAAATGGCCTTAGAGGACACAAAAGATAGCAGAATGTTTAGAAAGACAGAAACAAAAATTGAAAACATTAAGAGAAGGAATTACATAGAAAGATGAAAAAGAGAAAAACAGGAAGGTGGCCCTCATGTTGGAAAACATGTATATAACTAAATTCTGGAATTGCAAAGGGCATATCTTATATATTAAAAAAGAGAATTAGACTAAAATAAAGGAGCTCTAATCAGGGTAAAGGCATAATATGGTTCTTTTTTAAGGTAAATTGAAGTTAGATATAAGGTTGGCGTAAACAATACATAATGAACATGCATTAGATATGCTATAGATAGGATAGAAAATGTGGAGATAGAAATGGCTAAACAACTATACAAAGAAAATCTGTATAAGATAGATGCTCTAGATAATATATATTATGTGTTAAGAACTTACTCACTTATCATTGGAATGACTTTTATTAAGTATGTTATTAGAGGATTTTGAAAACGTTGTATACTATAATATTATGATAATAGCCAATATTGTATACTAAAATACATACATGAATGGTTTGAATGATTGGAAGAGGTGTGGAATTTGGTGGGGACAATTGGGAAAACACGAAGACGCAAAAACAAATAATTTTAAGCAACCCATGTAACACGATGTTTGATAAGCATTAACCAAATGTAGATATATTGAAAAACCAATAAAATGTATTTTAAAAAAAAGAAGTACAAGCTGGATTTTGAAGGGGCAGAGGAACTAAAGACCAAACTGCTAGCATGCGCTGGGTTATGGAGAAAGCCAGAGAGTTCCAGAAAAACATCTACTTCTGCTTCATTGACTACACAAAATGGGAGTTCCTGACCACCTTATCTATCTACTGACAAATCTGTATGTGGGACAGGAAGCAACAGTTAGAATTGGAAATGGAACAACTGATTGATTCAAAGTTGGGAAAGGAGTATGACAAGGCTGTATATTGTCTCCCTACTTATTTAACTTACAGTGGTGCCTTGCATTACGAGCGCTCCGTTTGATGATGAAATTGCTTTACATTGATGTTTTTGCGATAGCAAAAGTGATCGCAAAACGATGTTCCCTATGGGGGAATTTCGCTTTGCAATGATCGGCCCCCTGTTTCGGTAACCGATCATCGCAAAGCGATGATTTTCGCACAGCTGATCGGCGGTTTCAAAATGGCCGCCGGGTAAAAAAATGGCCACCTGCTGTTTTCTGGCACGAATTCCTTGTTGCACGGGCAGCGAAAATGGCCCTGCTATGGAGGATCTTCGCTGGACAGTGAGTTTGAAGCCCCTGGGAACACATTAATCGGGTTTTAATGCGTTTCTATGGGCTTTTTAAAATCGCATGACAGTGTTTTCGTTTTACAGTGATTTTTGCGGAATGCATTAACGTCATGCAATGCACCACTGTATATGCAGAACACATCATGTGAAAGGCTGGACTAGGATTGCCGGAAGAAATAACAACCTCAGATATGCAGATGATACCACTCTGATGGCAGAAAGTGAGGAGGAATTAAAGAACCTCTTAATGAGGGTGAAAGAGGAGAGCACCAAAAAATGGTCTGAAGCTCAACATCAAAAAAACTAAGATCATGGCCACTGGTCTCATCACGTCCTCATAAATAGAAGGGGAACAGATTTTACTTTCTTGGGCTCCATGATCACTGCAGCTGGTAACAGCAGCCACAAAATTAAAAGACGCCTGCTGCTTGGGAGGAAAGCAATGAGAAACCTAGAGAGCATCTTAAAAAGCAGAGACATTGGCTTGCCGACAGAGGTCCGCATAGTCCAAGTTATGGTTTTTCCAGTAGCGATATGGAAGTTAGAGCTGGATCGTAAAGAAGGCTGACCGCTGAAGAATTGATGCTTCTGAATTGTGATGCTGGAGGAGACTTTTGAGAGTCCCCTGGACTGCAAAGAGAACCTATCCATTTTGAAGGAAATCAAGCCTGAGTGCTCACTGGAAGGTCAGATCCTGAAGCTGAGGCTCCAATGCTTTGGCCATCTCATGAGAAGAGAAGACTCCCTGGGAAAGACCCTGATGTTGGGAAAGTGTGAAGGCAAGAGGAGAAGGGGATGACAGAGGACGAGATGGTTGGAGAGTGTCATTGAAGCTACCAATATGAATTTGACCCAACTCCGGGAGGCAATGGAAGATAGGAGGGCCTGGCATGCTCTGGTCCATGGGGTCACAAAGAGTCGGACACGACTTAACAACTAAACAACAATAGGTTCAGACATTCACAATTATTTACAGTCACAGCAACTTTGAAATTAATCAAAAGGGCTACAGCTGTGTTAGTCTTTAACACCTTACTGTATTTCAAAAGTTACAGAACATTCAAGGAGAATGGCTTGACGCCGCGACGAGACAGCAGCAGGACAGCTCTGTCCCCTGGGCTGAATTCTGACCTGTTTGGGACACCCCACAATGTCGAAACCCCCCCGGAGAGGTGGTGAATTGGGGGGAAGCCTGTTGATCATGGGGGGATGGCGGTCATCCCCGTTTGATCCAGGAAACTCCCTAATCAGCCAACGGGCAGAAACAAGCACAGAACCAGACTGCTAGCACATAACATTAAAAAGGTGGCAGAGCAGCTTTTAAACTGAATCCTGAAGCTGAGTGGTGTCTGGTTCTGGACTCCTCATCCCTGTAGAATGAGGGTGGAAAGGGTAGAGAACCACAGAGTAATGACAGTGTAGGAATTAGGACTGGGAGTGTGATGGCACATGATAGTTGCTCCACTGGAATGAGAAGCTATGGGGGAAAAAGAAACAAGCAGTCCTTCTTGAGGGACCCCATACGCAGGGGCTTTTATACAAATGCCCGAAGTATCCAAGCAAAGATGGGAGAGTGGAGCATTTGGTGGCTAGGGATAACACTGATATAGTGGCCATAATGAAAACCTGGTGGAATTCGGAGAACAAGTGGGATACCACAATCCCAGGCTATAAACTCTATAGGAGGGATAGAGATGGGTGTTGGAGGTGGGGTGGACATCTATGTCAAAAGGGTAGAATCCAGCAGAATGGAGATGGATTCTGACTCCATCATAGAATCACTGTGAGTTAAGGAGCCCAAGGAGCTATGTAATAGTGTGTGTGAGGGGGAGCTATTGTCCTCCATATCAAAAACTTGAGGGGTACCTTGAAATAAGGAGATAAATCAGGAAGGTGTCCTAGAGGGACAGGATTGTAATCATGGGAGACTTCAATTATCCTCACATCAACTGGGTCAATGCATGCTCTGGTCAAGAAAGACCGGGTTTCTTGACATGCTAAATGACTGCATTGGATCAACTTGTCATGGAGCCCACCAGAGGACAGGTGACTCTGGATTTAATATTGTGTGGTACTCGGGATCTGTTTAGGGACGTGAATGTCACTGAGCTGCTAGGGAATAGTGACCATGCTGCTATCTCTTTCATCAGGCATGTTGCGGGGAGAGTGTCAAGCAAAACTGACACAAAGGCCCTTGATTTCTGAAGGGCAGACTTAACTCAGATGAGGAAACTAGTTAGAAGTTGAAAGGGAAGTTTAAAAGAATCCAGTCTCTCCAGAGTACATGGAGCCTGTTTAAAACAACAATAGTAGGCGTCCAGTGTAAGTGGATACTGCAAAGA